GATGGTGTTTTGTTAATAATTTACCTGCTTATTGCTGTTCTGGTGGTTTTAATTTTCTTTGCCTTGTTCAAAACAAATCTTCACTGACTACTTTCTTCTTTGAGTGAAAGGTATCATTTTGGTCTGATATTTAAACTAATCAGTACATTTATAAAAATCAGCCTACACATTTTGCCTGTGTAGCTATAACATTTGGGAAAAGTAGTTTGGTTGGATGCCCTGAGTTCACACAAAGCTTGACTGCATCGCCCCATGGTGAGCAAAAGGGTGATTTTGGTCCCCACAGATCACTGTTTCTCTTATATACAGCAGGCCATCTGCTTTGGAAGCTTCACAAGATACTTCCTCTTTGACTGCACACACATCTATATATACATGGAGCCAGAGAAAAGATGAAAGAGAGGATATAACTTCTCTCCCAATTACTTCCCATACATTCATGTACACATACATCACAAACGCACACACTGTATTCCTGTGCACACAGCACTTGTAGCCCTTCTGCCAATTACTTTTGATATATCCATACAATATATCTGACCCATATATGCTGTGGCATGTTTTTCTTATGAACACAACACACATACACTCACTGTGCCTTTGATGTATGCAGACGTTTTTATCTGGTACATAGTCCTGTTCAGAAGGTCATGCCTGTAGTTTGGAAGCGGTGAAAGTGGGTTAAAGCTGACATGCTTACACGCTGTTGTTTAAAATGTTCATTACAGTCACACACACACATACACACACACACCTGTAGGTTTGGGTTCAAATGCCCAGGAGTGTATATTTACCTCTAACTTATGTGTTGAATTAATCCAAGAAGGGGATGTTACCTGCCAAGCCTCCTACGTTCTACTTCAACAGTTGATGCTCTAAATTAAGATTCTTAATTACTGCAATTAAACACTATGTGGTATTTTGCTTTAGCCGAAAGTGTATAATGGTTAATCCGTCTAGTTTAGGGTGCTTGAGAATAAATACATAATTGTCAGGCTGACGTTTTGAATAGCTCATACTCCTGCAAATCAAAATCCTCAGTTTTTTATTGACTTAATAAATAATTATTCTCTGTGTGTAAAAGTACTATAGACCTAAGTGTAATATATATCTTGCATACTTGATCATAAACATTTTATCCTGCCTCCTTCTTTCTACTGTAATCAGTCGATTGTACATGTTGCTGTAGTAGACAATGCTCTGGAAGCCCAGAGCGTCTTGTGGTGAGTGGGAAGCTTTAGCGTGGAGGAAGAGCGCCGCAGGGCCAGACTGGTCAGAATGGATAGGGGCATTGGCTAATGTGATTGAAGGTCAGACAGGCCTTCCAGTCACTGATACACAGCACCAAGATGCTGTGTATGCGTGGCTTGTTAGTCAGTCTGTGTGGGGGAAAAAGCGCATGTCTTTAACCATGTCCACCTTAGATGGATTTAAATCTATATGAATGCACTTCTGTAATTCACAGTATGGAAGTATAATATATCCTGAGTGGCGAATAGTTTCAGAACAAAAAAATTTGTCTGTAGACTGAAATTCAAGTGTGCTTTTATTTGTCCTCTTATTACGAGGTGTTGGTGTGGTATTTTTCCCACATGTATATTTCTAATTCACAGTCACACATTTGATGGTAGTAATGGAAAGGAGTATTGAGAATATCCAATTAAAACAAATGGCACACCTCTATCAGGAGCAAAAGATGGTGGTATATTTATGCAAAGTTGGTCATTAAATAGGATTAAATTCTTCTATGCAGATATTGACGCATATAGCATGTGACTTTTAGATTAAACTATATGAACGTATATGATCCTATTATAAATAATCCTTACCTCACATGTACACATATGCGGTGTCATATAGTTCACAACACAGAATTCATTGCCAATTAACGCCATTGAAATGATCCTGCACTAAACTTTAAATGTTATGGAGGTAAAATTCTATCAAGTGCCCCACGCCTTTGCCTTATTGGTTTCCTGCCGTGCTCTGTAACTTGTGATATGGAGAATGGGCTTTAATGCTGTTAAATAGGATGATCTGTATGTGCATCTTATCAGTAATCTGTGAGGCAGTATAGCCCATGGCAGCCAATCAAAATGTACACCATGCCAAAGAGATTAAGATAAGTAGGTAGGCCTGAACCCACATGTGCAGGGTCTACTACAAGGGTGAGCCAACTAAATGCCTAAACAGACTGCACATGCTCTGCTTTTTATATGGAGATTTATTTATAAATGTTTAAAATAACATTGATTGATGATTGATTGAGAGTGGTAGCAAGTCATTTTGAAGATGTTGTTTTTTCAGGTTGAATAAACTCCCCAATTATCTGATATATTGGAAACCAGTGAATGTGACAATACTTTGATACATGCCATGTTGTTTCCTTTGCCACACACAAGGGCTGTCCTTAATCATTCAACCCATAACCTGATGATAAAAAAAAAAAATCTATTTTTCTCTCCTGTAGTTTTGATTCTTTGGAAAATGTGAATGTAGTTGTATTCATGAAAGCGCCAGTGCAAACATTTAACCCATTATGTAAACATAGATGCTTAATAGTTATAGGTGGTCCATCATGGTTTGGATACCAATTTAGACATTATACTTGCCCTCATCTGAATGCATTGCTCCACACCATGTACCAATTGTGCTCTTGTGTTCTAGGAAACAGCTGCAGAAATGTATGGGAGCAGATAAGAATAGAGAGCAGACGACCATTTCCTGATAAATGACCATCCCCTATGTCGTGAGCCAACAATAACACAATAAGCACACTTAAAACCAAAGGGGACCAGGAGGAGGGCCAGAGAGCCAAATCACTGCACACATTATTGAGTGTCTACTCTGCAGTCTACACCTGAGGCTTTTCACAACATCATGGGGACAGGGAAACATCAAACAATTAAAAACAGGAAATGGGAAATAGTTCAATTTTAGCTTTGGATTGTGTGTTTGGAACCATTGTCATGTTATTTGGAAAAAATCTTGCCAGACGCTGGCTTTTAACTCTGTCAGACCAGTGTAAAGCAGAAGCTCTTGAAGAGCACAAAGCTTTGACCTTATCTTGCAAAGGTAAAGATAATAGGTCCCAGAATTGGAATCGAACCACAGGGTTCTTCTCGTTCAGAGGTAAATGTTCCATCCATTGATCCACAAATCCCTTATATCTCTCAATTGTAAAAATCTCCTTCAAATAATCATTGTTCCTTTACTGACCACTTGTGCCCATTCGGCAATGGCACAGAAGTATTTTGGTCAGATCACCTTGAATTATCGAGCTTTCAAAGCAACCAACAAATTGTTGCTATCAAAACTGCTCCTCACTGCAATATATGTAATAATTATTGTAGAAGACAACAAAGACAAGCAATTTTCAAAAGAAGTAATGCTTAATATTGGTTCAAACGTCCAACGCAATTGTATTGGAAAATTACGTATTAACATTTGATTGGGGGTGGTCAGTGAACTGCCCGGGGCTCATATTGCATGTATAGCATTTATATGGGGAAAAAAAAATCTGTGAGCATTTGATAGGAAATTAAGTTTAGGTAAAACCATTAGGAAGAAGTGTTAATGGTCAAATTACAAAACAAAAAGATGTTGTTCATATGTTGAAGTTGGACCCTGTGTCCTGTGGGCAACTACGGGACAAACATTAAAGAAATTGTTTATAATTATTATTATTATTGAATACAAAAGCAAATGAACAACTCTAATAGTTTGCTGCACAGCATTTGTTGTGATCATGTGTGATTGATGGATGTTTTCGATGGCATTTTTAGACATGGGTGACTTCACGAATCATTAGTGCATCTTAATACCATTGATGATGAGCTTTAGAGACTCTTACTCTGGACAATTACACTGTCATCAGCTTTAATCTCTCCGTCCTCTCTCCTTTAATGCCGGCCTTTTTACTTTCCCTCACACATGCAAACACGTACACACACTGCCCAATTAGCCAAACAGCACGATCGCTCCCCTGGATGACCACATGTATCTTAGTGTCTGTCCGTGCTTTGCTAATGATGATGGCACTTGCGTATTTGTATCGGGCTGTGTGTTCTTGATCCCCTCCAAGTGTGAATTTATTTTGGTGCATCTGCATGATATGATATGTCTTAACACATAGCTTAAGCAGACACTCAAGCGTTTCCAGACCTCCAGCCAAATGACAGTTAGATCATTAGGCTCCAGCAGCAGGCAACGCGCTAATTTAGCCTGAAGCCGCTAGATAACTCCTCCTTTGACCTTCAAATCTCAGATAGCATGTGTGGTAGTTGGTTAGTTATCTTTCTTGGGTTGCTCCTGAATTCTGCAGTAAACTTTTAGATGAATAAGGAAATGTGATTTTCTCTTTGTTTTTCTACTTGAGTGAAAACTTCAATGGGGTAATACAACTGGCACCAAAAGCAAAACCTTGAGACATAATCTCATCTTCATTAAACACATTTTATTTTTTAATTTGCTGCTCCAATTTTTCCTCAGGTTGTTAACATAATAGTTAAAAGCTGCTTTAGCTATTCTTTCTGCAGAAAAGTGCCACACACTTTTATTTGTTTTTTTTTATTCAAACCTATATTTATTGAAGACAAATTGCTAAAACAGGTGCTATGGTGATTGGATTGTGTTGGATTGAAAAAATACAGCACAGTCATACCAATTGCCCATGCTCACCAATGAGGCACGCTTACTTATTTGAATCAAAAATTGTAAATGTAAAATGTGTTCAGCTTATTTGCTCTGATATGCCCAAAGCCCACATAAATTGATAGGATTGTGTTAGGATTTATTCAGAGTAGACCCTAAAGCTGTGAATTATTTCTAACTGTTGGCAAACAAATAATTGCTGAAAGGGATCTTGGGACAGTAAATCCCAATTTTATACAAGTGGCATGTTGAGTCAGACTCTTGTTTTAAATGCGTTGGAACAAGATCAAGTGACAGCCCTCTTGTCCACTGTTTACTGACTTGCTGTACATTTGTCTTCTCTGCAGAGGGCGTGTGTGAAATTTGGCTGACCAGTGAAGACACAGGAGCGTATGGCAGGGACATTGGCACAGATCTGCCCACTCTGCTCTGGAGATTGGTGGAGGAGATCCCCGAAGGAGCCATGCTGCGACTGGGCATGACCAACCCTCCGTACATACTGGAACACTTAGAGGTATGCCGCTACACTCTGCTCTGACCCAAAGGCACTCTTCAATAAAATAATAATAAGACAAGTTTTATTTATTTACCATTTCTGTCCCTCACGCCTCATGCACTGCCTTTAATGTGAGCTAATAACATCACTTTGTCGATTTAATAAACCAAATGTCGTTCTGTTTTGCTTGCGAAGCACTTTAGTTGTGGCTCTCCATTCATTAGCGCAGTTCATTCTCTTCTTTTCCTAATGAGTCAATTAAGCACCATTGTGTCCTCTTTAGCAGCCCCATTTTATCAGTCATTATTGTCTTCCCTAATGGAACAATGGACATAGTTATCCACTCTATTCCTCCCTCGACCTCTTCTCTCTCTCTCACACTTACTTTCTGTTTGGCCAAGGTCTTTGTGCATCACTTCTTTGTAAACGAACATTAACTTCCATACAATTGTTTTTAAGACGCCTGCCCACTAATTAGCCAACAGCGTACAAAGAAAAACAACAATTACAATATTGACTTCTAAAAATACAATTCATTAGTGTCCTCCTCCATTGCTTATTGTGACATAGATAATGGTTAAATGAATGATTGGTCCCCAACATTTTGGCTTGGGATACGCTTTCTAGAAGTCTGTGATTTTCCAATCTACTCAAATTTATTCCAATGTAAAGTCCATATAAAGTGGAAAGTTTCCACTGAAGTGTAGTAAGATTATTGCTTCCAATTATTTCATTTGATTTTATTATTTATATATTTTATTATTTTTTTGTGTGTGTGTTGGGTGTTGACTAGTTACTTTTGTCCTTAAATCTGTGTCATTTATATCTAGCCTTATAATTTACATTTCCTTTTTATCCCCAAGGACACTTGTTCATATTAAATTGAGTGAAGAAGTATTAATTGAAAAACTTAATGCCAATATGAGGGTAAATCCAGGGGATAACCTAGAAAAGTGAACTTGAAAAAACACATGGAGCTCACAACAGATATACTTTTAAATCAAATAATCAAGATGACAGTTGAATGAAATGAGGGCAGAATGTATCATAATGGGGATAAAGGCCTGGGGATAGATTCAAGGGGTAAAAATGAGTGGGAAAAGTGCTGTGGGAAGCAGCAGTGGAGGTTGTAATTAAGCAGGGGTTAATGGAGGTGGCTAATTGTCCCCCACATGTATAGGTAGGCTTTCTGCTTGGCTACATTACAATTAAAAAACCACCCTCCTAATGATAGGGAATAACAATTAACTGATAATTAGAAATATAGCACAGCACACTTGCATGGCTGGTGTATGTGTGTTAAGAGAGATTTCATATGCCACCACCAGTTCCTTTTATTGTTAATGTTGATGCAAAGAATTAAATTATAAGTTTAGCTTTAATTCCTTAGTCAATTAACCTACATAATGTGAATAGTTTTATCAGACTCTTTTGTCTCCAGTGTCCACTCTTGAGTCTGTTTGCCTGTACTTCCGTGATAGTGGTTTAGTGCAGTTGACCCATTGCAAATATAGACTGGCTGTCTTCCAGGGAATGGTGCCTTTAGCTTAGCAGGCTTAATTTCTATGAAGGAATTAGCAATAGCCACCAATTATCAAACATTATAATATAACTGTAGCCACTTCACTACATGCTTGTAACATCCAAGCCTAATTCAAATAGATTAATATTTTGTCTTTTGTAGCAATTAGTGTATCCAGTTAGCGTAAAGATTTTTTGATTAGAGGTCCTATATTGCACAAAATTGACTCTTGTGAGCTTTAAGCCATATTATAATGTTTTTACTTCCTCAGAAACATACCTGGACTTGTGTTGTGTTGGAGTAATCCTTTATTATTAATCTGTCTACATTCCCAAAGCTCAAAATGCTCTGTTCCACCTTGTGATTTCACGAAGCTGTAGTTTTCAAATTAACAGCTAACTTTAGTTCAGTAGAAATTGGCAGTGCCAGGTCTGATATAATAAAGGGTATATGGAGTTTAAAACATAGTGGCAAACTTCCTATATTACCTCATGACATCACAAGGTGGAACATCATGTTTTTAGTTTGAGTGAAGAACTCAGCCTAAATATGCAGGTTTGTGTGTTAAACATGGGTGAATGAAGCAAAACACAATTCCATGTATGTTTTAGAAGAGGAACCAAAATTTTAATTCGATCAGAAAATAGTGTGATATGGGCCCTTTACATTGAACAGAAACTATCTTGTTTTTTTAATACTTGTTCAACTCTAACATGGCGAAGCATTTGAGTTTTTAAATGTGATATTTCATGAAGGCTCAACTAACAGGTGGGAGAAATACAACATGACATGTGCATCTGTTCATTTTCTTCAAAGAAATAAATTTGTAAGATAAGCACGTTGTTTTTATAATGAGTTGAAAAGAACACTACCCCTGTCTCTAAATGTGCAACTGTTCTGAGCATCACCTGTCTTACCTTTTCATCTCTACATATGTAATGGTCCAACATGAGAAATCCTGTCTTTTTTATCAGACGTTGTATTTCCTGTCGTTTTCTGGCTCTTGTTCCTTGTCTTCTGTTGAGTGCTGCTCCTAATGATAGTAATCACTGGAATAGGACAGGTGTAATGGTGAACGTCAAATCTCTCTAGTCAATCAGTCATGGTGAGCACAAGTCAGATGAGATGCCTGTTTCTGTAATGGCACCGTGAATGACTGGAGATGAGCCTGAGCATGACCTATGCACTCTCCCTCAGCACATTTTTACTATTTCTCACTTACAGTCCTGTATTCTAGTCTTCTATGTTTTTTTCCTGACGGGTGAAGACAAGCTCATACCACCATTTGCTGATTGTAGCAGTTAAATGCACCTCTCCTGTTCCAGATGTCTTGGCCATTTTTGTTGATTGCATTGAGCCATCAGTGGTTCCTTTTCCAGTGTTAGTAAAATACCCCCTCCATATTCCCCATTGTTCATTGACATTTTCAATTTCTGCTTTTTGTTTTAGCCTCCCTTCTCTCACTGTAAGCCTGTCTGTACATCCGACCGGTATTCCGCCCATACCTCACATGTAATTTCATTGTCAAAGTTGTCAAGTGCACAACAGTAGGTCATCCAATCATATAGTGTGCTTTAGTGCACATATACCTGTGTGCTGGTGTGTGAGAGTGTGTGATTGAATATAGCATGCCCGCAGAGTCAGTAAATGAGGTGTGAAAGTACCCTCCTCATATGTAGCAATCAGTCAGGGCCCGATGAATGAAAGAACTGTTGTCCATTTAACATCATGTGAGATCATCCCAGTTTGAACAGAAATATATCACATTTAAAGTCTACAGGAGACACAGCATATTTCTAGACCTCTATAAACTTTTCAAATGCATATAAATGTAATGTTAAGATGTCGTAAGCCTACATAAACCCAGACGATGTGAAATACTAGACAAAGGTTTATTATGCACATATTGTAATCTATAGAGGCTGTGTTTAAATGTGCTCTTTGAGATTATGATCATTTTAATGAGGTGGAAGCGTAACAAGACAAAATCTAGTTAAAGTTGTTTTGCTGTGGAACTAAATTGTAGCTTTTTGCAAATTGTTATAATTATGATGCAAATTAAGTTTTCAATTATGCGATCCAGTGATGTCCTGTTGTTAATGTTGCTCAAATTATTCTCTTAAAAGTGAAAGCATGCGAGTTACAGTTTTATTTTACTTATTTATTCATTAATGTGTTCTTGTTTTGCTCCTAATATGGACTTTATTTATACATAGCAAAGTTCTTAGTTTTAATAATTTATATGATGTTTTTTTCCAGCTCGTAACAGCCACTTGTGTTTACACATTGTGCGGTATAGGACTCTGCAATGCTACAGAGCCAATGTAATCTCTCTCCCTCTGTGCGATCTATAGACTTCATGTGTGCTATGTGAGGTGCTGGGGCCTGCGCTGCCCTCCGGGGAAAATCAAATGCAACTCCAAGTGTTTGAAATACCGCTGGGAGCTCAGTTTTTTTCCGAATAAAGTTCTCACAAATAGAAATGCGCACACACCACCATGACGTATCATCCTGGGACCACCGTGTTCAATCATTTTCTCCATAGACTCCCCTGGGATAACCCTCTTAATACTATCCCATATCTTTGTGGACATTTTGTTTCTATGTGCCACTGCTTTTGGGAAGCTTTACCATAACAGTCTGCGAGATGCACTGTATGTGTAAGTAAGACTGTGCTCCCTATAGGATAAGGTTCTATTTATGGTACTCAGAGACAGGTGACTGTAATTAGCACTGCTTAATTATTTTGGTTTCTCTGCTAAAATGTAGCTCTAATTGATGGTAATGGATCTAGCTGGCAACATGGTGATTAAGCTTGATAAACATTTAATCCTCATAACAAATATGAAGTATGACTAGATTTAAAACAAAAAAAATCTACAGACTCCAAATTTTGCTTTCATGCATCTGGTTTTCTCCATGGAGAACGCTTTGCTTGGAATGTTCCACAATATGGAATTAAACATATCTACAGTTTCTCCTTGGACAGAAGCGGGGTAATGCCACGATGGGAAGTTGTAGGTCAAATATGTGGAGATGCAATCCTGCTGACACAAAGTGCGTGGTTTTAAGCTATTAGAACAATAAATAGAACAATAAAAACAAATGTAATTAAATAAATGTGAGACATGTAATGCCATACTGTGAAACATTATAGACAGAGCTTTAAAAGTTACATAGTGCAACTTGCATTCATGCTGATTGTTTTACTGTTTCTTTTATTTCTTTGTGTGCAGTTTTTCAGCGTAACTAGTAGAATCTGCTGAAATAGGCACTTTCTCTGTTAGCCCCTGCCATTTATTTGGTGTTGATAACGGCTGTCGACCAATCAATAAGCCCTTGATAAAAATGCCTATTGATCATGTATTGAGGTTTAACTGGACTTGAATTATTTATTAATTAGAGAAAAATATCCCCACAAGTACCAAAAGTTTTCTCGCCCCAAAACCCACAAAATAAATCCCCAAACTACACAGAGTTCTTGTCTTTGTAAGAAGGGAATCCGCCTCCTTTTATCTGGCTCCACTCTGTTTTTATATGTTCTTTTTGTTGCTATCTGATTTGAGGGGGTACATATCAGATGCTTTGAGCTAAGCCAGTTAACTCAGATCCTCTGTGGTGCGTTTGTCTATCTGGGCTGATCAACCCGAGATGAAAGGAGCGCGCCTCGTGTGTTGTGTGAATACGACCGCGCGGATGCCTGGTGGGAGCAAGGAGAAAAGTGGCACAAAGAATGGTGCAAACAACATTGTGTAGCTATAAGCACTCTCAGGACGAATAAGGATACAAGTACAAAGGTGTGTGCGCTGATTTGTGGAGGCCCTGTTTGGTTGGTCCAAATGAGATGGTTACCTCATATGAGCAATAAACCAAGCCTTTAGCTAAGCAATACACGCGCCCATATAGCATCATTTATGCCTCAGACTGCCTAAACTGCCTGTCAGCCACAGACAGAGAAGGGCCAGAGCTCCACAGGGATCAGTTACCAGAGATTCATATCTGTAGTGTGCGATCATTAGTGGGCGGGAAGGATGCTGTCACATACATACATGATAAATAGTGCTGTTGAGTGAAAAAATCCTGTACATTATTTATCTGTTTATCTGTAATTCCCCACATTCCTTTAGAGGCTACTTGACATTTGTGCACAGTGGAGGCTGGCTGTTAAAGAAGAGAAAAATGCATAAGGATTTGCTATATGGTACAGTATACTGCAAATCCCCCCTATTACAGCTGTATATCGATGAAGTCAAGGCAGCCTCTATTGGAAGAGTGCAAAAATGTTGTAGTGGGTGATATTGACAAAGAAATATCTCAGCGTTTTTTGTTATGTAATTAGCCTGATATTATTATTCAAATGAAAAAATTTGAATCCATTATAAAGTGTGGATATATTTTATGATATCCTTGTTTGAAAGAGTATATTATTTTATATTTTGCAGCCTTTTTTGATTTGTTTTAATCACAGACTATATCAGTATTCTAATTTTGCAGATATCAACACATCCATTACTTTAATGTCCATTTTCTATATACCTTTCACTTTTAATTGAATTGAATTGAATTGTTTATTTATTTGAGACAGGGACAGTGCACAATTTGTACATTAACCTTAACAGGAGAGATGCATTGTACCAGGTTGTAGCACCAGTGCTAATTTCCACCTGTAGTCCCTGGGCAGGTTCATTGATTGATTGTATTTAACTGACCTTGACTATCAACTGTTCTTCCTGGAGACCTGTATAGCATGTTTTGGGTTGATGGATGTATGGAATGAATTATATTTAACAGGGGGACTTATTAACTAACATGGTAATCCTTGTTTTTTCTTGATCATATTAAAGTATTAAAGTGCCAAATGTATTTTTTTGGGGGAAATCCATGTATTAGGAATCATAAGTGAATGGAGTCTTGCATTGGTCTCACCTCCAGTTTAATAGATGCATCTGAATGAGTATCCAAGCTGAATATTGAAACTATAATTCATCTTTTGCTTCTTTTTTGTTGTTGTTGCCAGTCCACCACTTGGGAATCAGCCAGCTCCTTATTTAGTGGTTTATTTGAATTACATGTCTTGCTGTCATTCTTATTTGCTTTTTATGCTGATAAACAATGGGGTTAATATATTTTATTATGTTGTTTCACATATGAGTCTCATCAGTCTAATTCCAACAACTGGGATTTTGGTTTATTTTTATTGTGACGACCAGATGTACTACGTAGTCGCATAGTAACAAAATAACTATAAATTCAGTGGTCATAAATGTGTAGCTTTATCTCCTTGTGTCGCAGCGTTTGTGAAATGATCATCAATAAGCTTACTTTACGATGCCATGCTTTATATTTTATTCTCCATTTGTTGGCTCAATTTCCCTGTTGTGCAAATTTATACCTGTGACTTCAGTGTTGAAATATAAATTGTAAAATACTTGCAGTAAAATGTCTGGATTAATTACCCACAAAGGAAGTCATAAGAAGTTGTAATTAATACTTGGGCTAACGATCCATCAATCATCCATTAATTCACTTTGAAAACATAAAAATACATAAAAGCCTGTTTCACTTTGTTTTTTCTTTCCCCTCTCTCCTACACATTCTGCTCTCTGATTTCTGTCACCAATCAGACTCCATTTTCCAACCAAATTAATTCTCGCTAATTTGGATCTTCCAGTGGTCAACCCCCTGTGGCGTTTCATAGTGAGCTTTTTCTCAGTGTGTGCGTGCGTGCCCACAAACGGCCCGTATCTGCATATGAAGTAGGGAGCCCGCTACAATAGATCTTAATTGAGAAGACGGACTGCAATCAGCACATTCTTGTAGGAAATCATTAAATCATTTCTTCCTCCCCTCTCCTTTTCTCTCTCCTACTTGTGGTGATTAGCATAGTAATGATAGCATCCTGATTATGTCCATCAGAAATCTGACATCTGCACGCTCTCTCGCTCTTTTACCACCCAAATAAATTAAAATCATAAAAACTAAAAAGAGGGATTCTTTTAATTAATGGGATGTGTAAAAAGATGTGTCTGTCAGTCTAGTTGTAAAATGAAAGCGTAATTGGTACGGGTATGAGAAAATATTGGTTCTGGAAATATTGCTTTATTTTATTGGATAAATCAGTATTACACATCTCTTTTCAGAACTTAGTTTATTTATGCAAAAGGAACATTTCAATTTGTTGCACTTTCATGTTTTGAAAAGGTAACATTCAAACACAAATTTAGAGAAAAATAATAACAACAAATTAGTTGGAGTTACACTCAGATGTCCATGCAAAGCAAAAAAAAAAAAAAAAAAAGATTCATATTACATGTAAATATGGATGTCACCCACTTCCATATTTAATTATAAATTCTACACATTAATAAAATATAATATAATTACATGTATTTTATCTTTAACTTGACATTTGAATGAAATGGCATGTGGTAACAGGGTATCATTCTATCACATAGTTGGAGGAAAACCCACGATGGCAAATCTTGTCTTGTATATGATTCACATGCCTGGTTGTATTTTTACACACACACTCATTCATTTTATTGTAACACTTGTTGTATATATAGCACCAGATGCTTGTACAATATACACCTCAAGGAACTGTCTTCTATAGACTCATAATTAGGGCTGTCAAAAATAAATAAATATACAGATACCACTCAGATACTTCATACAAACACACAAATTAAAGTATAACATATATATTTTTTATACAACATTATATTGCTATATTATGTTGTATTTGCGAGCCCATAAATCTATATCTCATGCCAGCTTGATAACCTTGAATTTACATCTTAGAAAACTTTTTTCAAAATCACTATAATATTACATTTACAACAAAATCCTTTATCCATACATTTATGGTAGTTTTCTTCACCTTCACTTTGTGTGAACCAAGCTTTATTCTCCACTCAAGTCAAGGCACCCAGTCGGCAGATATCCGTACAGAGATAATGGAACTTAACTTGTATATGTCTTTTTTTCTCCTTCACATTTTTGATCGGAGATGTGGACCTGTGTGCTTTGTAGCGAGCTCTTGACTTTGCAGACATAAAGAACCCCTACTGCACCAGCCTTGACTCTTTGTACTATAAATCCTAGTGGAGACATGCTGAATTCTCCTCTGCTGCTTTCTGTTAGGAGTATAAAACAAGAGAGCGCTGCCGTCTTTCACTAGAGGTGTAAGGTGAGCAGAGTGCAGGCAGACAAGAATGTTAATGGAAGCTGCAATTATTTAAGGCTGTCAACTATTATCCTCTGCTGTGTGCTCCACCAAAACCTTGGCAGCGCAGGAAAAAATCATTACATGTGATATTGCTTTCCTCAGGTTGTGATTTGTATTGTTGGTACATGCCACCTGAGACTTTGTGCCCTTTTGATCAACTTTTCCATGGCCAGTATTGGTGAATATTGGCCCACTGTAATCAGTCAAATCCTTGCTGAAATACTTGTTTGTTTTCATTATTAAACATACAAGTTTTATATTTTTGCAATTATTACTTTCACTAGTGTAAACAACGTCTTTACCTATCTTACCTTGTCTATAACAACTTAAGTCTTTCTTTTGTCCTTCTTATATCTCTAGGAAATGGCGAAGATCCTGAGTCACCCGCGTGTGTATGCGTTCCTCCATGTGCCTGTGCAGTCGGCCTCAGACAGTGTTCTGATGGACATGAAGAGAGAGTACTGCGTTGACGACTTCAGGAAAGTGGTGGACTTCCTCAAAGAAAGGTACGCACACTACAGGACTCGCTGCTTAACATAAAGAATTATTTGTAATATGTGACATAGTAGATTATAGTACAATCATGTGGGACATTTGTAGTTTAGCTTTAGATGATGAACTCATAATCCCAATGTACTAGTAATGTACTAACATTAAACTATAAGGATCTTTTATATAACATCTGAGTTCTGCTGAATGTGGTAGAAGTTGAGCTTGTGAAATTCTAATGGTCTGTTGCCTGCATAAAGGTCGAGTTTTTAATATCTATATGTTCACATACATGTCTTTTGATGTTGCAGATTAAAGGCTTTTTCAACCACTGACTTTTCTCTAAGAAGATGAGATTCATGTACTGTTGCAATCAGTACATTTCATATAGCTGCCCCATGTAGGTCAACAGTCAAAGCCATAGGCTTAACAAATATAAATCTGGAGAATTCAGGTCACTGTCAACCCCTGCATTTGTGTCTTGTGTTTTTATTGATCCAGTCAGGGAAGTTTGATATACTCTTTATACATAGTGAGTTTGTGTAGTGTTCACCATGCCACATCATTTAAAGTTGGGTTCATTACTCTTTATTTCAAGTGATCATTATGTTATATGACCTACCCATGCCCCCACATCTGGCTGTTTTAGTTTTTTTTCCCAATTGAAGAAAGTTTTTCTAGACGTCTTGAACAAATACAGAAATAGCCTGTCCTCATTAGAGTATTGCTTCCTGTAGTCTTGTTTACATTATTTGACTGTCCACTTTTGTGTATCGTTGAATAGTGTGTGCGATGCACATGGTCATTGGATTTTAGCCTTTGTTACACAGGCTGCCTGAATCCCACACTGGGTGACGGTGGTTGTGTGAAATCAATAGCAGGAGGCTACACATGCAGTGCTCTGACCCTTTTGGCTGGAGCAGTAATTGCTGGGGTGCAGTTGAGGGTCTGGGAGAGAGGCCAGGGCTTTTGACAAGCCAAGAACACACCCTCAGTGTCTGTAATTGTGTGTTTGAGCAAGAGAGGGAGCAAGAGTGTGCGTGTTCCAACCAATTGTACAAGGTAGCAACAGCCATTCTGGGCTATGGCTCTTTTATATTTAATTTGCTGATACACAGAGGATCTTAACTTACTTTGTCAATATATTTGAAAAATGATGTTGTACTTTGGATTAAATTGATCTTAACACCGCATTTCCTTATTATAATAGTAAATACTACTGACTGTAGTGTCCCACAGAATTTTGTGGGACAATGTGACTGTCTTCAGTAACAGGCAAACTTAACTCTAACTGTTCATAATGTTTTAGATGTTCGGATTATGGCCTTCATTATATCTTATCAGTCACTTTTTAAGCCTTATCTAGTTCTGCTTCAATTGTTCTGACAATATTAAATGTGAATATAGAGATCTATGTTTCTACTTAAACTTTATTCAAATCACACATGTTCTGTTTGTGTAATATTAGTTGTCCAGGGTGGGATCCATAGCAAGAGAAAAATTGTTTTCTGTCAACAGTACAAAAGTTTTTTGATTAATTTTTTTAAATTAGTTTTTATATTACTTTTGACTAATTTCAACATAAGAAATGTTTTGGTTAACGGACAGTTTTATTTCGTATTTGAAACTTACAAATCCAAATAAATGAACATGCAAAAATGTGCATTAACCTTTAAAACCTTCTAATGATGTCTTGGTTAAGCCTTTATGAAAAGAGACATCAAAGTGTGTGCAGATGGAGAAGCCTGAGGTCTGTCAGTCTGTCCCACAAAAGAGACATAAGTAGTTCTCCTCACAAGCAGCTTAGTGCCACCAACACCAATAAGGTCAAGAGGTCAAATGCCTCAGGCTGCTCTTATCAGTGAGAATAACTACCCACATGTGGAAAGGTGTCCTTGCTTCACTGCTTTTTATGGCCTTAGATTTAAACATGTGCGAAGTGCCATTCTGTTATAGCATAATATGTGGTTACTTGGCTATGGTTGTTAAATATCATTACTTAGTTACTTATTGAAGTAAAAAAATAGTATCTAAACTAGATTTTTAAAAAATATAGGAGAAAATGGGACCTAACAGTTTTAAATGTTCTTGTTCTATATAGACATGGTATAAGACCACACTTTAATATAAGAATATGTTAGTATTTTGAGTTGACGGTTGTACTAGTGTCTATTGCAATATATATTTGAGAGGCTAAAATATATTCACCAAATGCAAACTATAAATCTTGAGATTTAATAAATAAATAATTGAATAGTGAATACATTTGCACAATATTTGATATTATCTGCACATTGCCAAGGTAAGTACAATAGTTATTATAAAGCTGCACTTTATTGATTGGAGTGGGATGCAGGCAGAGCAGAAATAAGACAAATCTATATACCCATTATTAAGTGTAGTTATCCCGCTAGACAAGATGTAATTATTTAACACAGAAAAGCCCAAAAGTCCTTTTTTTCCAGCCGGATGCCCTCACGACAGCACATCTTTTTTTCCCCCTCCCATATTGAAACATGCATCTAGTTTGGAGGTCTCTGAGAGGTTGAGTGCCCAAATAATCTGTCAGCGGGAGCTCGTCTACACTGATCAAATCTAATGGCAAATGAGGACTTCTGTGACCCTTTTGCTCAATGAAATGTGCAGATGTACGAAAGGAAATCAATTCCCCCCTTTTCTTAAAATTGCAGTCATTATAGAAGTTGATTGTAAATGCATATGCCGAGCGACTTTTGCTCTACACGACTTTTAGCCTAGGCCACGTCTGGTGCACTTTTTATCCTCACTTAAAACTGACGTATAATTCTTGCAATGGCTTAATGCCTAATTTCTCCAAGTTGTTGTAATGTGCAATTGTTTCCCGCTGTGCGTAATTCGAACAATCAGCGAAGTAGTTATTCCATTAAAATGGTTAATTTGTTTCTGTCTGCCAACACGGTCCATATTTTTCTCATCCCTTTGACTCAGCTTCTATCAATTAAAATCACATAATGAAGTGCAGTCTTTATGTAATAATGTATAGAGAAAATCCTGTTACAGTGGAATAAGGCTGTTACAGATTGAACCAACGTGGTCAGGGGATTTTTCACACTTGTGTCATACTTTGCCACAATATCTGGGCCTGGCTGCTCCCTGAAGAACACCAGGAGGATTAAGCGTGGTCGGGCCGCTGGGGCCAAAGATGAAATGCTGGAAAAAGAATAGGGAGGTTTGGGAATAGAGGCTGCCTGAAAGATGAATCTGAATGTCTTGGTGTTGGTGAGGTCGAACAGAAAAGGCAGAGTTAGAAGTCAGCATGTTGTGGACTAGATATGGGCTGAATAATGGGAGCAGGTCTGCACTATGGAGTCTTTACCTGTGGTCACTCTGAGGGTTCTGACCTTTTAAACCTCCAGTCCTTGTGCAGTGGCAGCTACACTGTAGATCCAGTAAAGAAGTACCATGAATTCCATCTAGTGATGTTATATTCCTATTTAAACCGAATGTTGTGGTACTTGGTGTTCTGTTAAGGGCTGAATGAACATGCATAATCAGCACATATTTATAGAGATCTAAACCACCGCCAGGTTTATACATTATAAAACCCCACTGAGGCATTATGTCTCTGACATAATTTATTCTATTTGGCTGCAATAAATACCATCATTTTTGACCATGTGAATGATTTGGCGATTATTGAAATAAATGTATTTTGGAACTAATGAAGGTTCAGTTTCTTATGCATTTAATTACATTGTAGGATAAATTCCTTATTAACACATTTCTAAATCTTAACCTGGACTATGTGTTGTGACTTTGTATTCTAAGTACTGTATTGACTTATTAGGATCTCAAAAAACATCAACATATTGTAGAGCTGTATCATTCAGCACATGTAAGTTAGCCCAAATATAATGACTCCTCACAGTGTATAGATAAAATATATAAAAAAGATGAATAATAAATAATAATTTTCAGAAAGCCAGCAGCTTGCAGCAGTTTTTCGAGTTGTTGACACATTCTTGCAGAGCACGCAGCTGTGTTTAGGGTTAAAGATGTGATCCCAGAGGCGTTGGGAAAGGTAAACAGGTGACTAATCCTTGTGATCCAGGCTGCTGTGTGTGGGACCGTGACCTACGACCTCCAGCGTGACCTCTGGGAAACCAGAACCCACAGCACCAACCACACTTAACTACTTCCTGTTTCATTCTGTCTGTAAAAATATACTCTACAAGCGCATGTTGTGTGGTTAAATGAAGCTAATAAATGAAATGACTTTGACCTTTCATGCTATTCTCCAACCTTTTTAGCCTGGAGGAATGCTTTTAATAGCAGTGGATTTCATTTAATTGCATATACACACTTTTATGGAGTTATATTCATGAGTAGACTGCAAATATTGTCAGTTCTAAGATGTGCGGTCGGATCAACACAGTGGTGTGCTTAACTGTGGCTACATATTAATAATAAGCTTATCACGGTTTGTTTTAAGAAAGGCGACAGTTTTCCTCAAACAATTGGCTGCCAGACGGTTTTTGTGCTGACGCTGAATGTTTGAATAAAAGTCTCGATTAGTCACCTTGATTAGTCATGAGTTTCATCAGATCAGCAGGAGTTATAGCAGGTCAGATGTGCCAGTAGCGTGACAGCTTTTGTGTGCGCTGTGGAGACAGTCTCTTGCTAATTTGTTGTTGAAGACATACCTTCATCAGTTTACACACACACACACACACACACTCAAAAGGTTTAAGGTATCGGGCAGGGCTAATGTTTCACTCAAACAGTGGCAGGCAGGCGGCAGCAGTCTGAACGGCAACTGAAGAAATGATAAACAGATCAGACAAGCCAGGTGGAAAAGAGAGGGGAGAGAGGCGGGAACTGAGAGCAGGGGTGAGAGAGGGAGACGGTTTCAGCGCGATAACCCTGTGTACTGGCGGGACATGTCTGTTCCTACTGTTTTTTGGGGTTTTGTTTTTTTGTTTCAGTTGAAGATTCAACAAGCAGTTAACTGTAGTAGATTCAAACAGCACAGTGCTGA